GAATGTGATTTTGCCGGTTAGACTGAAAAAATTTTTATTTTCTCGTTGGGTTTTGTACGAAACAATAATGTTATTATTTATGATGTATGTGTGTGCTGTGAGTGGTTACTAAGATTTGTAAAAAGAAAAAAGATAATATTTTCCAATTAAAATCTCATATCTTATAAATTATTTTTTTTTAATCATGTAATAAAATTAATTTTTCGGGACGTTTCCATTATATTTTAATGAATAGCACATTTTTATGTTCAGGGGTAACTGAAGTTTTCGTCTTGTTTTGCTCAAAAGTAATAGGTCTCTGCGCACTATGATTTCCATTTTAGTGATTTTTTGCAAGTCTGTTATTAATCAATTATTTTGCTGCGGATACAGTTAACCAAAAAAAAAAAAATAAATAATAATAATAATATAAATAATGATAAACAGGGTTAATGTTATACCAATTTTTTAAATTTTCTTCTCGCTTTATTCGCCGTATTATTATAATTATAATTATTATAAAAAGAAAAAATGTTTCATATTTTTTTTCGTGAGTATTGATGTTGGCAAAATGAAAAAATAAAACTTAAAACTGCTGTAAAATAAAAGAATATGATATATGAATAATACAAATTAAAAAATAGAAGCTCAATCCGCGCATATTTCTCTTATAACACCAAATAAATATAAATAAAACAACCATTGTGATATCAATATATTATAATATTTTATGGATATCGATATTATGGTATATACTTATCTATGATAATTTGTATTATTGTATCAATATCAATATCAATATCGTAATATACATATATTTATATGAATTATATATTATTCGTGTAATATGGCGATGCGCGATGTTCCGTTTTCTCGACTGGTCATTTCTAACACTATTTCTCGTTTTTCATGGTGTCTATGTATATTATATATTCAATGGTACATTGAAAGTTGACCGGATGGAAATTTCGTTGTGATATCACTTAAACTCGTGCAAACGATACTTACAGACTTTATATTGACGGTGTTATTGAGAAACCCATACCTAGGGTTGATATATTATATCAAATCTAGGTGCTAATGTTGCATGTAGACATCACATTCCGATTCGCTTCCCAGCCGCCATCAACCCCCTCTGTCTTCCTTAAAATGTGTTTCTACATATTATAAATACATATGTAAGTGTGCGTTTCGAACTCCTCAGACGTTAACAAATAAAATATGTGCCTTACCACAATCGTATAAAAATAATAAAATATTTTGTGTACCTATCTATTCTCCTGCTCTCTAAAAATTGTTGTCATATGATGGATTTCCGATTCGATATAGGTATATAATAATTAATATTACCCTTATCACAATGTTATTTAATCGGTATTTTATGTAGTTCACAGTGCGTGGAACATCTTGCATATACTATGTACATCGTGTTTTATTATGTGTATATTTGTGTATGTACAAAAAGGACCAAAAACTTAAATCTGTGAGTTTCAACTTGTAAAAACGTATTTTGTTTGTTTTTTTGTTTTTGCCAACGCCGATTTTCATAAAAAAAATTATATTTACAAAAAAAAATAGTTAGTCGATTTATTTTAATTTTTCGTGTGTGCCGCTAGTTTTATTTTACACAATATATTTAAATAACTCTAGTCATGCCTAGTGGTAAATATATATCGTATTATATTATATTATACTTGGGAAAAAAAACATCGTTGAACTATGTTTATTTATTTTATTTTTTAATCTTATAATAATTGTAATGTATTATAAAAATTAGTTAAGAATATATTATTATTATTATTATTATTATTATACATATATAAATATATATATATATATATATTTATGTATGGATAATATATCCAAATTGGTCACAGAATATACTTAGAAATGAATAATGAAATTGAAATGTTTTAACTTTTAAATCGTATTAATTTATATAATAATATATACCTAGACGGTGATGGAAACTTATTGACCATTATATTATTATTTAATAGTTTATATTTCTGCTTTGAGAAATAAAATAAGAAACCGCCTGAAAATTAACTTGGACGTCTTTTTTTATTATTATATACATTATATAATAAAAAAAATAAAAATTAAAAAAAAATAACGAGTATCGGAGACTTAAATTTAACGAAATCTCAAAGTTCACTGCTGACATTATCAAATGGATTTGCCTTATATCGTATGTTTTATAAGAAAAATACATATTTTATGGCATTTTGACCCATTTTATTTTTATTTTATTTATTTTTTTTTAAGTGACTAAGTGGCCTTTTAGTGGTATTTTTTGTTTTATTTAAGATGAGACGTATATATTATACATAATATATATATATATATATATTTAATTATTATGAATTTTAAATGTATTACCATGTAATCGAGTGATAATAATTGCAATTTTTTTAACCAACTAATAATTTTTGTACCTGGCTGTTAAAGATGTCTGATCGAATTTTCACTTAAATATCTTATGGGCGCGAACGAACCTATAAAAACGACGTACACATTGTTTTCCTTTCTATTTGTGGTTTTAAAATTAACTATGCAATTATTATGTAATGGTTTGTATCTATTAGCTAAGACCAAAATTAGAATGGAAACATACATTTACGTATAAATTTATTAATATATATATATATATTACAACTTAATTATTAATAATGTTTAAGAATTATATTTAATGATTAAAAAATATTATGTATTTAATATACTATTGAGAAAACATTAATTTTTAGTAGCTGTTGTACGTGCAATATAGGTATATTGCTTTCTCTCTTGGTTATAATAAATGATATTTATCTTAGCGAATATTATTAACCCATTTTGATTGTTTTGTAATTATTCGTAATTCAATAAAGGTTGTAATTAATTTTCTGTGTTTTTTTTATTTATCATTTCTAAAAATTATGCTTATTGCTTATGTGTGGCGCCTACTTATTATATTCTAATGGACTAAGTTCGTGTATTTTATCCTGCAGTAGCGTCATTCCTTTCAAAATTAAGTATCTTGATTCTTGGCATCAAATGAATACTTTTTTTGGAATTTTTAAAATATTTTGTTTTATATAACTACTATAATTATATATAGTTATAGTATAATATTGTACATACAGGTATGCAGATATTTTATGAACTTTTACTTATATTAGCTGATACCTGCATGGCGTTGCCCGATGATTTATCTCCTCTTAATATTTATATGACATGTAACGACGAGTGTGTGGTATTTGGCTTTTTTATATAAAATATTCGATTAATTTTTTTGTTCCTATAAAAGCATACAAAATACGAATAAAATATATTATAATTTAAATTTACAAAAATTTACAATTTAAATCATCTGGATCTGTTATTTTTTAAACTCAATAGTTTTCGGGGAAATCTACTAATGCTAACTGTAATTCACAACTATGATTCTGCAATAAATATTTGACATATTATTAGTTAATACTAATTATTATATTATAATATTTGGTATTATTTATATCTTATAGGTACTTAGCAAAGTACTTAGACTGAAATATAAAAACTCCAAAATGTACATTTATGAACTCGAACGCTGCAGTATCTACTATTATATACATATAAATAATAGACTATACTCGTACACTATAATATTATATAACTATATAATTATTATGTATACAATTTAAATGCCTGAAGGGTTAGATTAGAAATAAGGTATGTATATTAAAGAGGTTTAATTATTTAGATATTATTTTTTATCTTATAATATATTTATATAGTTTTATACATATACTATATAGGTATATTTAAAGTTATGAGTTACGACAAATAATATTAAAAATTTCATCAAGTACCTACACTGTTCAAATAAAAATGCTTACAACATGTTACAAGTCACGGTAAGTAATATAAAATATTTATAATTAAAATCAGTGGCGTTGTCATGAGGAGGTATGGTTGCTTATTAACATACTACACTCGCCCGTACTTAAGCAAAAAAATATATTAACTAAGTGTTTCAAGTATATAAAACTGGACGCATGGCTTTATTTCTTATCATTATTAGATTGACGACTCCAATGGTGTGTGAATTCCCTACAATGGTTAATTTAAAACACTCATCCCCCCACAACTGAAAATAATCCTGGCTACATAAGTGATTAACATAGGATTTATAGAAACTTATAACGTATATGAATTCCGAACACTCTGCAATACTCAAAGCTCAAATGCCATTTATGATAATTTAATAAACAATAATAATTACAATGCAATTCATACCAACTCCTATCTATGCTATTTCCAATAATAAACAAAAAATCAGTTATTCATAAAAAATATTCAATTCTAATATACAAACAACTAACTACTGCTATTAATTACTTATACATGTCCAATCTGGAGAAATTGTTCTGCTATACATTAAAAAAAAATCCAAATAATTCAAAATTAAGTGTTAAGAATTATTACAAATGCTCCCGGATTCATTAGTTAAGAAAACGTTCATAAAGACCTCCAAATTGTTAAAATTGTAGACCATTACGCACCTAATCAAAAAATTACCATAATTCATTAGGTACTCAACTCAACATGCTCACTTCATAATCATCCACCATCCACCACTTCAACGACGTATAAACGCAGTCGCCTAAACGACCTCATGAGTTGAATCCTACCTCCAGTTTATAATCTGTGTATGTTTTATTGTTATATAATTTTGGAATTTTGCATTTAGTTATTGTAATTATGTAATTATATAGATAAATCATCTTTATATACATCTGTTCGTACCTATATCTATTTATAATTATCTTTTTAAAGTAATCACAAACTAATATTGTTCTGTATTATCCAAAGATATAGATAGCCATAAACTGGGAATGTTGAATTTTATTAAATAAAAAAATAATACAAACGTCTTAAGCAACATTTAAAAAAATAATAAATAATTAAGTATTTTTCATTCTTTTTTATTGAAGCTTTTTAATTTTTTGAATGACAACCCAGTTTTAATTTTATATTCCAATGGAGAATATTTTTTTGAGGAGACATATTGTGTTATTTGCATATTGTGTTGCCACCGTCTTACACACGTATATGGCAGCAAATGTTCGTTGTAATTGAAATGAATTGACCTATTGGAAAATTTAAAGGTAAGATTAATATGTAAAGCCCCACGTAGGCTTTTATGATTATTGTTATTTTTAAGTATGTTATGACTTTTGAAACGACATTTTAAAATGACCATAACTTAGCTACTTACTTGCTTCTATTATAGTTTTACCTTATATAAATATATTATAATACTTGATAATACACACCCCGTCCCTCGCTACCTATTTAATTTCTGACGCATGCGCAAAAATACGTTTGGACCGAGACTTCAAGCACAGACCGCGTGTTTACGCTTCAGCTGTAATGTTGCTCTATAGTCTATGCCCTATCCAGTATGTATCTAATATCTAAGCTACCAGGATTGGGGTACTTGTTCCGTATTTCATGGAAGAAAAAAAACTTGATACCGGTATTTTTTTCAGCTTGAAATTGATTTCGGTTTTTAACGGTTTTCCGGTATTCGAAATCGGTTTTAAGCTTAAATTAAGCCATGTTTGAGGTGTCAAGTTTATACACTTATTACATGTTAAATATAATCTGTGCTATTATAAAAAATTGTCTTCGAAATATTTTAAAATAGGTTAATGCTTTTTGAATTTTCAATTTTTACTACGTTGACTGAATTAAAATGTTATCCATACAAATATTGATATTTTGAAAAAATTTAAATTAAAAATCATGACTTAAATGTAAAATGAGCTAGTATAATATATTATTAATTGTGCTTTTTTTGCACAAACAAAATTTGTTGCCCCGGCGAATTGTATTGGCGAATAGGCACATTAATGAAAGTTCAATAATTGCATTTTAACTCACTGGCCATTGCAACTTGCAAGTAAACAATTCAATTCATCAATTACAAGCATTGAATACAAGTCAAAGAACTTGAAAATGTAATAGAATATAGGTTCTAGTTAAGTTGTTGTAACTCATGTGCGTGTAAATTTTTAAAAAAAAGTTGAGCGTAAATCCACAATAAGTTTTTTTATGAGCGTCTGTACTTTGTAGTTAGAATTTTGACAATTTTGGACATGCTTTGGTAGGTAGTTAATTCAATAAACAAAATATCTAAATAATATATAAATACAGTTTTTTTTATACTTGTTTTATGTTCAAATTTCGACGAAATATTATATTAAAAACAATAACAACGATTCTAGTTATTTTGTTGTCATTTTTAAGATATTATTCGTAAGTAGGTATATTATTATATTTTAGACACACAATTACATTTTAAAATGCCCCCCTCCTCTTACCCACGCAATTGCACTAATTGCTTTTAGTCTATGTCAGATACATACACTTTTGTATATTTCGGGTGTCTCAGTTACATAATAATAACGTATAATACATATTTTTCGTTTAATTATGGCTATAGATATCTTCAATTATTGTGGTTTAATTAGTGACGAACAAACTTCAAGTCATATAATATTCCGCATTAGCCATCTTCCGTAGTAGGTGGTATCAGCCTAAAACAATGTTATCAACGATCAGTAAACAGGACAGGTAGCAAATAGTTCGTTTTCGTTACCTCCACCCTAAATTGATCAATGCCCGACGCCTCCATGAAAACACAGTTACCCGAAAACACGCTTTAATCTGTGGTAGAGATAACAAATTAGTAAACAAAAAGTTTAAGCAATTTACTTCTTATCAGTGTCCGTTAAGATTTGAGTTATTCTTATTTTATTACCTACCTATTTAATATTTTGATTTATATAATTTAAATGTCTTGTGTCTGCCTGTCCGTAGTCTCCCATTTTTCTTCTAATAAATTATCTTTTTTAATTGCCCTTTGTTCTCATAGGTAGAAACAAACTGTAGGTACAAACGTCGTCTATCAAAAAGCGCAAGTTACAGAGTAAAGTCGGTACACTCAGTTATTTGATTTAAATCACGGTGATTAGTAGATTTATTAATCGGTAAGTGTAACGTTTAATTACGTGCTTTTAATATTTATATAAGTGATGTACTGATATAACTTTTTATTGAACTAATGTGTGATGTTTTTAACTTTTATGATTGTTATTTGTTACTGGGAATTTTATTTTAAATAGATGAATCAATCTCGTCCCATTTTTCTACTACCTTATGCTGATAGGTACCGCCTATCCTAGTCATCAGATAAGACTTCTGAAAACATATTTGAATACCACATAATGTTTTCTTGAAAACGACTTAGCCATATTTTTGAAATTGAACTCCTTACCCATTACTATTAGATTTTTGAATATTTCAAATTTTTAAAAATGTTAATTTTATTAAATTTGAAAATTAAATTATGACAAATAAAAATATATTTTTAGAAATGTTATCAGATAAATAAGGTTAGAATAAAATTGGCTGCAGATTGATACTTTTGACCAAAGAAAAAAAATTGACATTTGTATAATCCGTTATTGACTTGTGTAGAGCGTTATTTTATGCACAGTTGTTACATAGATACTGCAGGGATAATGCACCTTAAGGGTTGAAAATATAATTTTTTAGCTATAATCTTGTGTAAAAATTGTATGCTGTTAATTAATTTATATCGTAATTGGGTGACTGCCTATCTAAATAAATACCTCAATTTCCTTCCCAGTTGCTTCATGTTTTAAATTTTTAACAATACATAAATCATATTTTATAATTATATTTATAATTTATTAATGGACAATAGTCAATAATACATACATTAATTTTCGTTCATTAGCGGTTTGAAAAATTGATAAAATGGCTGAGGGATCAAATACTTCAAAATTTGTGAAGACTTACGGGAAACCTAGACGTACCCAACTTTTAGGACAAAATTCACTGTGGAATGATGATTTAAATGACGATTTTGACAAATGTTTGGGTATTGAGGATGTTCCACAATCAACATTTATTTCACCAGAACCAAGTGGCTCAGTTACCATGTTCAAGCCTTCTAAACATAAAAAAAAAGATGAAAGCCAGAAGCATTCTATTGGTGGATGGTCAATGCAATTACATTCTACTTTAGATGGTCATAGAAATAATTTGAGTTCAAAAAAGAGGTGAGTTATGTCTTAAATATGAAATAAAATTGTTGGCTTTGATACTATTAAAACAACAAATTAAGGATTATTACACATTTTTAACTAAAAATATAACCTTAATTTACCTCATAATACATCTTTGTTTCATCACAAGACATTATGTCTAGGATTAATTACATATATTGTATATCAGTTTGTTAATTTCATTGTGTTAATATGGAAACTGGGTATAATTGGTTGGTTATTACATTATATTTTTTAAATTTTTACTGTTGCATTGAAACCAATAACAATATAACATTGATTATGATTTTGGTTGAATTATTTGTGTGTAGATACTAATAATTACATTTGTGTTTCAGATATACAGAATACAATTTAGATAGTAATCATAAAAAGAAAAAACTATTGTTAAAAAGTACTCAAAAGAAAAAGGAAAATTTGAATACTGTAAATAATTCAAAAGGTATGAGATAAAATATGACTGAATACAGTTAAGAATAAGCTATACAATTATTTTTTAAGCAATTTAAAAATTTGATTATAATATAAAAATATATTTTATTAGCCAGAGTAACTTGCTATAATACACCACCATCGACTCTTAACTAAACTGTTGTTACCTATATTAGCATTGTATTTTATTTTTATTACATACTAGTGAATTTTTTTGAGACATTATATGCTTAATTTTTCTTCTTTTATTGCTCAAAAGTTTTTTAAAATGTTATTTTATTTTGGTACAGTTAACTAGTTTATTTTATAATATTTTATTATACTTATGAAAACAAAGTGATACAATATTTATTAATTTAGATAATTGTTCTAACGTTTTTAGTATATTTAATTTTTTTTTTAGCTGGAGTTACACCGATCTCGATCAAGAAATTAAAAAACAAATTTATTTTGTCTAAAGAACAATGTTCTACTCCATTACAGAAATCAATGCTATTTGCTTATGGTAACAAATTCAATAGTATTTCTTCAAAAAAAAGAAAAAAAACAAAATTAAAGAAAAATTTGCCGCATACTATCAATACCCTTAATTCTCCAAAACTTCCCTTGCAAATAGAACAATCACATTTAAATAATTCTAACATATCAAGCAAAATAGATTTTGAATATAATAACCTATTTGATGATTCTGTTCAAATATCTAGTTCTCATTTTCCACCATCAAAAAACAAGTATTCAGAAAATAGTAGATCTAATAAAAGCTCTAACAGAGTATGCAGACTTAAAAAAAAAACTAATCCAAACTCAAAAGAAAAAAATTCAAATTGGTATCAAAAAGTTATGAATATTTTTTGCGATGAAGAATCTAATTTAGAAAAATCGAGAAATCAAGATGTTATAACTACAGAGGAACACATAAGCATGTGTAGTTTTGAACCAGTCTTAACTTATGAAACTATAAAATTGGATCCAATAGAACAGCAGAAGCAATCATTACCATTATCCAATTTAAATAACTTACCATTTCAATCTTTACAATATTTCAGTAAAAGTTCACCTGGAAAGGATAATCATAATATGTTGTCTTTAGATTGTTCTCTATCAAACAGAGAGAATAGCGTCATAACTATTGATAATATTAAAGAATTAACTATTGAGGAGTCTCAACCAAGTCAAACATGTACTTTATATTATAAAGATTTGTCTAAGTGCGCAAATTTGTCGTATGAATCATGTTATCAGCTTGATAAAAGTAAAGCGATTGAAGACAATAAATTATCAAATGTTAATTATGCATCTGTAAATAGTTTAAACGATAAAGCTTTTGTCAATAATCCGAACAATGAAGACTATAAATTACTTCAACTTAATAAATGTAGAACTCCATCTCTATGTAAGAACTCTTCTCGCCTGATACAGAGCATGGTAAAAAAAGAATATTCAAGTAATAGCTTAAGCCAGAACTTTTCTGCGGACCAACTAGATTTTAGATTGCTAAATATATTAGACAGAATTGACAATAATAAGCAAGGTGAATATGCTCAAAATAATCAAACTTCGTTAATACCATTTGAAGAAAACGTTGGACTTCAATCTGACAATGAACAATCAAATTGTTCTTCTTTAGATTCTGAATCTCAGATTTTATTAGATGTTACAGCCAAGTTTTCTGATATTATAATTGATGATACAATTGGGCAGTGTGAAAAATCAATTAAGAAGGAAAGTTTATTTTGCGAATTAGATCATACATTAGACATCTCTCTCGACACTTCAAACCACAAACATGAAATTATTTCAAATGGTTCTTCTATGTTACAAAGTTCATCTAGCTTGGAACAAGATACTGTTATTTATAAAAAAACATGTACAGATGTGTTACATATAAAAGAGAATGCTGATTATAATAATCTATTATTAAATGATAAAAGTACTGAGTTAAAAACTGATGTAACCACAATCAAATGTGAAGAAAAAACCAATACCGAAAATCAGATGAATATTTCTGATAGTGTATCAAATGACATATTAGAAATCAACGAGTCAAATTTGTCTGTAACTATGTCGCGACGAAAGAGATATGCTTCTCGGTTTCAAGGCTTGGATGTCATTGAAGAGTCCAGTCAATTAGAGACCATTATGACAGAGGAAAACACAACAGTTTTTCATTTAGAACCGGGCAAAAAGTGGCGTCGCTCTATTTCAATTGTTCGGAGTTTTATGGATAGAAACATGAATGAGTCTCTAAATTTCACCAAAGGACGTAAATGGGCTTATACTGTTGATGACGTATTACGACGGCAGTCTATAAGTAATGTTCAGACAAGTAAATTGGTTCTTCAATCCAGTAAATTGTAATGTGTTTTGTTGTTTGCAGATACTAGTATTCATCAAAATTTAGATCAAAGCAATATTTTTAAGAATTCAATGTGCAGTTTCAACCAAAGATATCTACATAGAACATCTATTGGTAAATAAATGTTTATTTTAGCTGTATTCATGTTATGTGCAATTAATTTATTTGTAATATATTTTGTTGTTTACAGATACTAGTTATTATCAAAATTTAGATCAAAGAAATATTATAAAAAGTGCAATGTTCAGTTCCAACCAAAACTTGCAAATAACTTCTACTGGTAATTAAAATATTTATTTTAGTTGTATTCATGTTATGTGCAATTTATTTATTCTATTTGGCTAGCAAAATATGCTTACTTTAAGCACATTCTAATTAAATGTGTGTGAGTTAAAATAGTTGATCATTATGAAAATTAAAATAAAAATAATTTGTAATATATTTTGTTATTTACAGATACTAGTATTTATCAACATTTAGATCAAAGAAATATTTTAAAAAGTTCCATGTGTAATTCCAGCCAAGACTTGCAAATAACTTCTACTGGTAATTATAATATTTATTTTAGTTGCTTTCATATTAGTGTAATTTATAAATTATACTTGGCTAGGAAGATATACTTTCTATAAGCACATGCCAATGAAATTTTCTTACACGTTATAAGTTAAATCTGTAAACCATTAGGAAAAGAAAATTTTAATTAAATATTTATTATTTATAAAAAAAAGTACAGTTTGAAGAGGTGTGACCACAATAATCACATGTTTTCAAAACTTTAAAATAATAAATGGTTAAAATATTAGGTGTTGTAAGTTGATTAAATTTAAATTTGTGCAATGTAGATCTTGAAAATCAAAAAGCCAGAAGTTACATTTTTGATGTATGTTGTCAACAAGAATTAATACCTTTTGAATCATGGTTAAGCCCAAAGTATGTATAACATTTATCGTATTATCTATTATTATAAAATTTTTATTTTAAGGTGTACAAATAAATGGAAAAAGGTTGGAGAAGGTGTATATGGTGAAGTATTTAGCTACTCAAGTGGCAATCGATGCACTATTGTCAAAATCATTCCTATAGAAGGTGAAGTGAATATTAATAGTGAGAAACAGAAGAAGATGTTTGAAGTCTACAGTGAAATTGTAATAGCTACAGAGTTAAATAAGTTGTGGTACAAAAGTAATTTGAATCAAACAAGTTCATTTTGTAAACTCAAACGTGTTTCCTGTGTTCAAGGAAAATATCCTAGTATTTTGATTAATTACTGGCAACAATATGACAAAGATAAAGGTAAAATTAATTTAAGGTTAATGTTAATATAATATTATTGTTTTTTTTTTCGATGACATAACTAGCTATCATTTTTATAGTAGCAAACATATTTTGAAGATCAAATTGAACCTATCTCATTATAATCAATAGTGGACTATATATTTTTAAAAAAATGCTTGTCATTTTATATACCCCCAGTACTAATTTTACCATTATATATATATTTTTTTTTTATATTTGATTAAATGCTTCAATTACAAAGATAATTAGCGTAGTGTTATTTACATACTGAAAGTATTTATACAATATAAGGAAAGAGAAAAACAACATATGTCATAAACGGGAGTATTATAATTTTATAATTTATCATCTAAACCAATTAATTTAAAAAAATTGAAAATATTGGCGATGTTGGTTTGATTGAGGGCTTCTTCGAGTGATGTAGCATTTTTGAGGAGGACGTGCAGATGTGAATTTGGGGCAGTTGATGATTATGTGTTTGATTGTAAGAGAGGTTTTGCATGAGTCACACTTTGGTTCCTTAGTGATTAAGTAGGAATGGATAATATTGGAGTGGCCTATTCTAGCTCTGTTGATTATTATTTGTTCTCTCCTAGATGCATTTTCAGGGTATGTCCATTTTGCAACTGTTTTTTTGACGTTCCTTAGTTTGTTACTGGATGGAATGTCATCCCAGTGGTTTTGCCATGATGTGAAGATATATATACATTTCTTATAAACTTAAAAAATACATTTGTGTATAAATCTTTTACTTAAAATAAAGACAACTTATTTAAATGTACTTATTGAAATAATTTTTAAGTACTTCAATAATGTACTAATATAATGTTATGATTAGGTTCTGATAACGATAATCCTGACATACTGCCAGAGGATCAAATGTTTATGATTTTGGAAATGGAAAATGGTGGTATTGATGTTGAAAATTTTATTTTCAACTCGGCACATCAGTCATTATTTGCATTTTTACAGGTATTTTATTACGAACATCTTATTTTTCATTAATTTATATTTAAATAAACAACAAATATTTAATTATTAATAAGGAAAAATTATTATCCTATCATTTCAATTTGTATTAAATTTTAAGACTTATTTATTCATAAACAACTAAAAAAGCTTATAGTTTTCATGGTAATCTAAATAATTATAATAATTATATAGTAAGCAGTGGCTTATATTTATATATATCATGAATAATATGTATGATAATTAAACTTGTATTATATACAATCTGTGATCTATAGATTAATTTAAACTTATATGAGTTTGTGTATTGTTTTTCAGATTGTTTTTGGATTAGCTGTAGCTGAGGAAGCATACATGTTCGAACACCGTGATTTACATATTGGTAATATTTTAATAAAAAAATGTTCAAACAAGAAAATAGCTTATGTACTGGAGGGTGAACATTTTGATGTGCCATCTCGAGGAATTAAGGTACATAACATTTTTTGTACAAACTTATTTGGTGATACTAAAACCATTCCAATAAATATTATTATTTTAATAAATAAAACAATGAGAAAGAATTCTTAGGGTCCAATGTAGAACACTTTTAAATTGAATAAATACTAGTATCTGTTAACAACAAAACATATTACAATTTACAGCATTAGAATAGCTATTTAATTGTATAAATATCACTAATAGATTGTTGTCATGATATGTCATAAACTGTACAAGCCCATTTTCAACCTTTGGTGAAATTTATAGATTGCTTCTATCCATGAAAATCCAAACTATTAAAATAGACAACGCCATTTTTTGCCCTGCTATATCTCAAATTTAATTAAAAAATTGTATAACATAGTGTTCTTAATACTCTCAAATTTAAAACCCCTGATTACAATAAAATTAACTATTAATTTATTTTGACAGATAACAATAATTGATTACACCTTAAGTAGAATGACGTATAATTCCAATCATATATTTAATGATCTCTCTAAAGATACAGAATTATTTACTTCAGTTGGTGACTATCAATTTGATATTTATCGTATGATGAGAAAAGAAACTAAGTAAGCATTATGTTTGTATTTTGTTATCGTAATTGATTGAATTTTAAATTATTTTCATGTAGTGATCAATGGGAATCGTTCAAACCAGCCACAAATATATACTGGCTACATTATGTATTGGATAAAATGCTTATGTCAGTACATTATAAAAAAACTAACACAGTTCTACATAGTATTGGCCTTTCAAATCTGGAGCGGTTGAAAAGTGTAATATTATCCTTTAATAGTGCAAAAAGTTTTGCTGAAAGTGAAATAATATTGGAGCTAATAGGGTAATAACAATTTTCTTCAATAAACTCTTTTAATATTTTTTATTCGAGTAATATTCTTAATTTATTTTAATAAATGTTTTTGTTTATTAGTAATAAGTGGTGATAAATATGATTGAATTTATTATACTTTTGTTTAATTTACATTGTCAAAGCATCATTCATTGCCGCCCATATGAATAACAATTTTATTATTATTTTAAAATCAATAAGATGTGTCATTTTATTAGAAATGTATTAATCATTAAAGTTTTTATTTAGTTATATCACTGTAATATATTAATATTACTTTAATAATATTTATTAATTTCAAGGAATAAAATTGCTACAATTGTAGTAATCTAATGTTAATTATGTTTCAAGTTTTAGCCAAAATGTTACTTCTATGTTTTCATAATTCATTCATAAATTCAAATTCGTTAAAATCAGTTTTGAAAATTATTTAGAAAACTATCTATTTTTCTATTACCATGTAATAATTTATAATAATTTTAAACAGAATAGTTTTTTGGTTTCAATTGTTTTAATAATTGAGTGGTATTAAGAAATTAAATTATTGCACATATAATGTAGAACATAGGGGAATAATTAATTTATTAGTTTGTAAAATGTACTAAAGTTTAAAACTTTTTTACTGTTCACAATATTCAGTGCAAATATTAGTTTATTAATGAAAAACAATCTTAAATATTATTATAATTATTGGTGATTTAATATAAAAGTGTCCAAATTTTTTTTTTCAGATACAAGAAGCCATAAACAAAAAAAGTCGACTTGTTATTTATACATATTGTTATTAAAATTATTTATTTATTGTTTGACAGGCAAAGCTTGTTGTAAAAACATGTTTGAACATTATGAAATTGTATCATATTAATTTATGTGTGGCAATGATTATTTGGGTTAACTTACTCTGCTGTTCGATACTTTATGAATTCGTTTATTTTTTAATTCATTGTATGTGATCTCATTACTAAACTATAATTTTTTATGTATAACATTGTTTTTGTCTGAAATATATTGATTTTACAATGTTTTATTATTTTTCTTATGTGTGCACGATAAGACGTTTAATAATTCTTAGATTTTCAACTTCAGTATTTTTTTTGATGTGAGAGTAAATCGAGTTGGTATTTTGAAGCGGTCAAAACTGAAAATTCATAGTAGTTATCGGAGAAAAGCTATGGGAAAAACAAAAAAAAAATTAAGAAAAAACTGTTATGTTTACTTAAGTCTAGTTTTTACCAAATCGATTTTGGTTTTATGGCGTAATATTAAAAAATATATATATACAGGTACATGGCATTTTTAACTAATGTGTTTCTATACAACTTAAATTGTTCAAATATTGTGAGTAAGCTATGTATAGGCTACCGTGTCCCAAAAACGGCGTAGTGCTACTTTGAGAATATTTCAATAGGAAATGGGTTTGCTAAAAAATTGAATATATCATTGTAGGCCAAATCGCTCGCTCAAGAACGAAGCAGAAACCAATAATTTTTGCTAAGGGTGCACACTGGTAAAGCAAAACTGCTTTAAGGCGACTAAAGTCGCTTTATTATGACTAATCAAAAATAAAACCTTTATATTTTATGGAAAACACGCGCACTGATAAAACGTAGACAAAACGCAACATTTTTGTCTTCAAACATGACTAATATTGTTTTATTGAAATAGAACGTGCGCTATTTTCATTAGTCATTGTCAAGCAGTCGCGTCGCTCAAGTCGCTGGATAATTATATCAAAATTATGCCAAAGATTATTTATTTATGCTAAATTGTCTACAATATAAAGGTAATTTTACATTATATATTATATATTATACACTATATCTACAAGTACTGAAGTACGTAATTTTGCATTGAAAACATTTATTTTATTTTTTGTTTTTATTTTTAAATAATAATTTGTGAAAAAAATATAAATATCTATAACATCTGTACAAATTAAATATTTTAACTATAATATATTAGTTCAAAATATGTTTAAGCAACTTAAAAAACTTATTTGAAGCATTATTATTACTTACTTTAATCTAGGATTTCCACATAAAGATTTTCGAGCAGCAGAAATTCAAAAGATGATAAGTGTTACATCTAACTGCAGAATTCTTTAAAAAATAAAAAAAATTATAAAAATATATGA